CTATAGATCTATGGGAGAGGATAAAGGAGGTCAATTGTCCTCCTCTCTAGCGGTGATCCATATGGTATGGGCTGTGAAGACGCTCCTTAAATCGTTACATAATCCTCCTCGTTACGTGCACCACACAATCAAAAAGGGGCTATAGGTTGAGGAGGAGAGGGAGAGAGGAGAAATAGGAGGTGGCAGTCAAAAAGAACCTAGCTCATGGCCTATTGGTTCCCTCATATTTATAGAAGCCCCTTATCAACTTAACCCTAATGGATCTTGTCATATGTATCAAGCAATATAAAGTGAGAAAATATCATAATAATAATAATAAGTAAAAATACTATATGTTATGTCACACATGTCGTCACTTACATAATTGGCTTGCAGGGCACCTATGACTAGCACCAGGCGATGGCACCTCTAGGCCAGGTGGTGGAACCGCCTATGAGCTGAAAAGTACAGAATATACTTCTTTAAAAAACCCAACAATGGTACCACTAGGGTCAGTGGTGGTAATGTCCAAACTGCGATGGTACCGCTAGGACATAGTCTCTCAGACTATGTCAGGTGGTAGTACTGCCTAGGTAGGTGATGGTATCGCCATTGCTCATATTAGTTGGCGATGGTACCGCCTAATGTAGGCGATGGTACTGCTAGTACCTCGGAAACCCGAGGATTTGAATTTTTTGCTTCATTTCTTAAGTCATTTGGGGCCTATAAATATCCCCCTCATATTTACATGTAAGAGTACGAAAAAATTTATGATTGTAAGTGTGTAAACTCTCTTAAAGCATTGAGTCTCTTCCTCTTTGAGTTTAGAAGTTTTTCTAAGGGAACAGTAAGGTCTTGTTGTAAAAGAGAGGTGTGAATATTCTATTTTGAGCCTATAAAAATGAGAAAGGATTGTAATAAGGGTAGTTGATCATCACTCATTGAAAAAAAAAAAAAAATTTGTAATGAAAGCCGGTGGTCTCGAGGAAAGAGGAATTGAGAGTGGATGTAGGTCGGGACGACCAAACCACTATAAATCTGGTTTACATTTTCCTTTATACTTTTCATTTTTATTACTAACTGATTTACTTGCTTCACTATCTTTACTCAAATTATAAGTTAAAACATATTTTTGATACAAGTTTCATTAAATGAACTTTTAAATCGATATTTTTGAAAGCACTAATTCACTCCCTCCTCTCAATGCCTTTACAATCCTAATAGAGGGGTATATAAAAGATATGTTCGATGGCATATTTTACTTAAGAAAAAAAATAATAGATTCACTTAAATAAAAATTTAAATATCATCATGTATTCCACTTTAGTTTTATAGCAAGCCAAAAGTTATTATCCGTATTTCATTTCAATTTGTTTCTACAAGAGCCCAACAAAATACCTTTTATTTATTTTGGGGAGTAAAAAAGGTATTTAGGAATTAAGTATTCATTTAATAAGTTTGTAACAAAAATATATGAGATATACTACTTTATATAGTATTAATTTTGTAGTCATCGATTTAATGTGAAAACATTCTCTCTCTAAGTCATATTGATGTATTTTGCCGAGTGCAAACATATCATGGGTGTATATGAGAACATATTTGAAATGTACATTCAGGTCCAATGTACATTTCGAATATGAATTGGTATTTGATAAATTTTTTAAAGTTATAATTGGCTTAGATATTGCATTAAAAATTCTCAGATGCCAATCTTAGAATAATATTACCATTTCAGTATTTACATGATGCTAATATAATTTTAAAAATTTTAAAAATATCTTATGAGTTTATCTAAAATTTTAAAATTATCAACATGATTTAGTGATAAACCAACATGATTTATATTTTATAAGATAATTTTTTTATTTATCTATATTCAAAAATTATTATTTATTGATATGAATATATTTTTATTTATTATATATTTTGGCCATATGAAATTTTTATAAGATTGCATATATTTATTTAATTTAAATATAAATATCTATTTTTTGAATAAATATTAAAAATATTATAAGGGTAAATCTATCATAAAATACTTAATAAAATTTAAAAAAAATAATTTTACTGAATAATAATTATATCAATATATATTTAAAATATAATTTTCATCTATTGTTTACCAAACATTCAAAGCGGATTCACTCAAATCTTATTTTTCAATTGCATATTAAAAATATAAATATATTCTTAAACACAACCCATATATGCATGCACTCTAATGTTGAGTTTCGATTGATAAAAAAATATTAATTATTGATAAATAAAATTAAGGTAGAAGTGATGGTGGATTTTTTTTTTTCTTTTTAATGGTAGACTTTGAGAGGAAGAAGAAGACTGATGATTTTATCAATTAAATTAAAATTAGTATTCAAAACCAGTTTTAACTCATAATTCAGCCTCTAAATGCATTTGTTTGATATCGCAAGTCCACTTCTTGGGTGTTGCAAGGCAAAATGCTGCAAATGAGCAAATCGCAAGTCTATGTCTCATTTACTATGTCGGCAAGCGAATGGCCTCTTTGTAGAACCCAACTGAGCATTTACTTACTATGTCATGGAAGCCACTCATCCATTGCACGAACAGAGTTCTCACATACTTAGCTATGAAATCCCACCTCCATTAATCCACTATCTCTTTGTGCAATTGGAGTTCCACATTTTTCTTATTGTGATCGAAACTCTAAACTTGGCGTACAAGTGTGACCTTAAGAATAATATTGATGTCTGGTTGATCTTTATTTTCTGCATCAACCACTTGGGTTGGATTCTATAGTTAGCAAGTGCTGTGGGGAAGCTTCTTATTCCCATAGTATAATACTTTGTAGTTGGCAAGGGTTCTTCGACGATGTATAAAAACTCACTCTTGAGTCAATAGTCGAACAATATATTATTGTGACAGTCGACATCCAAGTTATTATAGTAGGTGGAGATGGTAAGTGAAAGTTATTATAGAAACTTTATAAGAAGTTAGTAAAAGTTAAAAGAGCAATAACACTTATACAGAATGGATTGTCCTCGACAGAACGAAGAATTTTCCTTATATAGTTGGAAAAATCTTATCTTCTATTACTAATATGTATATTTACATACTAACATATCAAATGATTAATTTTGATATGTATTTATTATATTATAAGTATATATAATTTTGATATTAAAATAATTAGGATTATTATAAATCCATTCCAATGAAAATTGAGGAAAGTAAATATTCAAGTATTAAATCAAATATAAAAAATTTGCTTCTACCATGTTCTTTAATATTCCTTCCAAATATCAAACATAATGCATGAAAGGATATGTGATGAACCATAGTCTTTTGGAACAAAATGGTAAGATGGATGAGAAAGAAAATAAAAATAGAGAGATTTTCTCGGAAATTTCTTATCTTTTATTGTAAATTCTATCGAATCGAAGAATTGATACATTAGACCAAACTTACGCAGCAATCCAAAAAGTCAACGTCGAAAGAATGGATTTACAATAACAAACACTTGGTTATCAAGCACTAAAAAAAGCCTGATATCTCTCCATCATGAATACCTTCAATCATGTCGGTGGTTGAACATGAACATGGAGGGGATACAAACACTTTGGAGCATCTACCTCGGAGTGGAGGAGCTGTCGGAGGATTACTATTAGCACAATATCAATTATTACTAGAAATAATTAAATAAAAAAGAAAACATATAGCACATACGAATATTAACAAAGTAAATGGATAATAATAAGGTTAAAGACTTTAATAATTTATCATAAAATCCTAAACTCAAATCAATGATACACAAAATACGATTACCCTTCTCATAAAACAAAGAATTCATCTCAAAAATTGACTCTAATAGAATCAAATTTGTCGAGTTGCATTGTGTTTCGCTAATAATTTTCATCAACACCCACTGTTTTTATTCTTAAACCGGTTAATTTCAAAATTACCATTAATTAATCAATTGAATGGACCCCACATTTCTTGGTTGGGTTGATAGTTTAAGTTGTCATCCAACCATGCTAATGTCCTAAACTACATAATTTTAAGTTGTACTAAAGAAAGATCAATGTCAACTCATCAGGGGACTATCCTCGACATGGGTGAGGTTATGATAAGATAGAGGAAGACAGGAAGATAGACAATGATAAGAGAGAGAGAGAGAGAGAGAGATGGATATAGGATTGGGATCAATTCGAGTCAAATGGTAATCGAATCGATTTAAAACTTGAATCAGGTCAATGGTTCAGAACTTGAGGTGATTTGGTTTGGTTGTGATTTTTATTTTCAAGAATAAAAAGATATCCTTATAAATCATAGAACTTATGGGGTGTCAGATTGATCGAGGCTTTGATTTGGGCATTGCACCTTTGATTGGCTCAATTTTGTTGCCCATATTAAGCTTAGAAACATGTTTCCTAAAAAAAGTAAAAATAAAAAATATGATAAATTCATTGGTGGAAAAATTTTGGTTAATTAAACCAAAACTATTTGGAGAAAACTTTTCCATATTTTTTTACTTCGTCAATTTCATTTCAGTTTTCTTTTTTCTTTTTTCTATATTCCTACCAAATATCAAAAATAATGCACAGTCTTTTGAACAAAATATATATTCTTTTGGTAGATCAAGGCATTAAGTTTTCTTTTAATCTATCATCAAATAATGGCTAATTTCCAGTTGTATGCGGGATGGGCCATCCCGATAATTATTAGGGGACAATTCCTAACTATTTATCTTTTTTTTAAAATAAAATAATTTTGGTGGGACAATTCCTAACTATCTATTTCATCATCTGAGTCACATATTCATACCTAATGATTTCTTTAATATTTAAGAATAATAAGAATAATGCTTTATCATTACAATGATCCCAAGAATGAGAATGGGACTCCAAAGACGTATTATAACATCAATTTCTAGATGATCATCGTTTAATATTCCTTCCAAACATCGAACATAATCTCATACATACAGTCTTTTTGAACAAAATGGTAGAGATAAGAAAGAAGAACACTGTATCCACATCAACGAGAGCAAAAGTATTGATCAAAATTCTGTCGAATCAAGGAATTGATACATCATTACACCAAACTTATGCAGCAATCCAAAAACTCAATGTCGAAAGAATGGATTTACAAGAACAAACACTTGGTTATCAAGCACTATAAAAAGCCTGATGTCTCCATCATGAATGCCTTCAATCATGTTCGTGGATGAACGTGAACATGGTAAGGGGATACAAACACTCGGAGCTGCCGGACGAGACCGGTGCGCAGCTCTCACACTTCACAACGGGAATCATCAGGCGGTGGCGCTGTTGGCCGCCCTGAGAACGTCGGCGATCTCATCGGCCACCGACAGACACGACGATATCCACCCGTCGAGCGCGTCCCACACCATGTTCACTATGTACACGGCGAGTTCCCACGGCATCGCCATTGACATCGATCGATCACCTTCGACTCCTCCTCTTAGCTTCGTGAAGACAACTCCCGCCCCTTTGCTAATGATCAATACATATAAAGAAGGTGTCGATTGGAACCCAAGCAATTGTTTTTCTGAAAGATTCCGCAAAGCGGCAAGGAATAGTCCAAGGAAGGAGAAGGCAAGTATAGTAATCTTCTTATCTGTGTACCGTAGTGGACAAAGGAAAGGAAGCAGGTGGAATGGAAAAGGTTCGTCACCCTTGGAATAAGGCCGCGTCCTATGGATAATGCTTCTAACAACAAAAACACTTCGAGAAAAAGATATCTCGTTTCCATCCTGTTCTTCAAGGGCAGATATTGAATGGACATTTAGTGGCCAGCCTTTTGGATGTGTGTGGCCGTTGAACATGTTTTCTGGGGATGACTTGCGAATGCATATGCGGTCGGTGAAGGAGACTCGTGCCCACCCTATACATCACAGTACTGATTGCCAACGCAGGTGCCCACATGGTCGAGGATTAGTCCTTACGATTGTGGATTATTTGGCAGGAGAGAGAGAGAGAGCGAGAGATAGTCTCAAACGAAGGTGGGATAGGTTGTCCCATCAATATTTCTTTGTTGGTGATGATTGGGAGTAACACACTTGCAATTATTGAGTTGGTGGTGAATAAGGACGAATAGTGGAGAGAGGTGTCGGCGGGTCAAGGATAAGGGTGCCACAGAGGAGGATTTCGTGTAGATGGATGGATGAAGAAGATGATAGGGTCGATCTCGTCGTCTGCATGCATGCACGTCATTGAGTTTGGTTTGGTGGGCGAGAGGAGAGGCGAATGAAAACGCATTCTGGTGTGGGTTGTGGATAAGGTTGAAGGGTGATGGCTGTCGATGTTTCGTAGGTGGAATGTCAAGACACCTTCCTTCCGACGTCTTTTATCTTCTCTATTTTTCTACAAAAGAGACAAATATATATATATATATATATATATATATATATATATATATATATATATATATATATATATATATATGATCGCTGGTTTATTGATTGAGCCGATAGGTCAACTGATCAAAATAGTATGCTTGAAATAAATTATATCAATATTTTCGTAGAAAATCCTTAGCCGTTGGTTTCTAGTAGATGTAGTTCATTCCATGAAATATGGATGGACAAGATGACATTCTCTCTAGGGTGTGGTGTTGACCACATTATTGGGAGGATTGCTTTCATACAAATCGAGCATTCATCCTATTTTGAAACGTCTTTTCACCTTTTGGCAAGGAGCTTGGGAGGCCCACAGATAAAAGACAAAAACAAGCATTTCGCTTTTACTCTCCATTAACTTTTTTTGGAGTTCTCCTTGAGTTAGTTTGATTGAAGGATTTGTCTTTTGTCAATATCTAAAAAAGAAAAAAAAGAAAACTAAGATTTTAGTGGTTTTTTATACCAAACTCTATTTTGGTTACTCTCCCTTTGCCCCCAAAAGAATAAAATTCAAAGAGAATTTTTATTATTTTGAAATATTAAGGACTCACCTCCTATTATAAAATTATTTTTATCTACCAAGAATCAACCAATGCGATATGGTGGACCGAACAAACCAAATACGATATTCCTCAATAGTGTTAAACTATTTTAGTTTATTGAACTAATTATAGTGTTTTTGGATAGAATTATAATATTATAAGTTAGTAATCAAGAATATTATCATATTTCATATCCTCAACCTTTTGTAAGAGGGTCTGGTATGCCACTACATCTGTTTCAGGTATAAAATATATTGGATAAGGTTTTGAACTCTTAACTTTGATAAGAGGGTTTTATATACTATCACCATATTAGAATCCTCAACATTTAGTTAGAAGATCTAATACAAACCTTCGAATGAGGGTCTAGTACTAAAATGTGTTAGTTGAGGTTTCATATCCTCAACCTTTGGTAAGAAGATCGAGTACACCATCATCAAATTAACGTTGAAGATAGAAAATATATCGGATGATGTTTTGAACTCTTCTGGTATGGTGATACGATACACTAAGAGAGTTTTGTACACTATCATACTAATATTTTATACATAGAATATATATTAATCGTGGTTTCAAACCTTCAACTTTTGGTAAGAGTTTCGGTCTAATACACCAACTACCAAACTTCAACTAATACATTTTAAAGGTATTAGTTAGCTTAGTTGATAAGGATTTTAATAGTATATCACAAGATCTTGGACTCGAATCTCACATTCGTCATTTATCCTTTGTATGAAAATTAAGATTTTCTGTCTTAATAAATTTTATAATAAAGAGATAATAAATTCTTTTTTTTCTCCTCTAACCCTTAAATTTTGGTCCATATACACGTTAGAAACCTGATAATATTTGTGTTCGTTTACTAAATATAATAATAATGAGTACGGTAATATCCCATTTTAGTGTTCGTAAATGGACTTATAAACCAAAACATTATAGTCATACCTTAATTAATTAAATCCTCACCAACATTAATTAACAACCTCATTATAGGTTTAAAGATTTTATAGAATGATGAAAATTGGATGAAAGTTTAATCGGGTTTGGGATGAAAATTGAGAAGGTTTTGACATATTTTCGATACAAATAATGATAAAAATTCTAATTTCTTGCTCACTTGACCTTACTTTTAGTTAGGTGTCATGTTTGTGACCATTTATCATGGAAGGATGACAATAAATACGAATGGGATCTTATCCAATCATAATGCCTTTGAATGTGCGTACTATGTTTTCTATAAACAATCCAAAACATTGTTACCTTATCAAGAACTTGTAACAAAGCTTAGTTACTTTAAATCCTAACAAATTCTTAATTATTAATCTTACCATAAGTTTTTGAATTTTATAAAATAATTTGTATGAGAATTTGGGTGGGTTTCATGAAATTAGGAAGCTCTTCATATATATATATATATATATTTTAAATAGGATAACATTCAAAAATACTATAACCGGTCCGATCTACCACTCGGATAGGTTTTGATTGGAAAAAGTTTCTTTTTTTTATATTTAAAAATGCCTAAAGCCGTTTACATGCACTATGAGAATAGGAGTATTTTAATGTGTGACCTCTTTCCATAAAATCACTATGTATGATGACTCGAATTCCAGTCAAAGCAATACTAACACTTGGGACGTTTGGACGGGTAAATAAAATACGATTTTTGTGAATTTTTTTTTTTAATCGCACGTCTCGGCATAGACATCATAATCAAAATCTCTTGGAGAAAAAGAGTAATCTTCCAAATGAAGAATAACATGATCATCATAAAAAGGAAAAAAAGGAGACAAATATGTAACCTACGAATCGAATCAAAACATCATTGTATTAGCTTGAGACCAAAATGCATTGGCCTGATCCTTTACATGATTGAGAATATAGTGGCACATCATGTTCTATATCGAACACACAGTATACGCCATTATTAAAAGTCCTCATCTCCTTCGGTAGCTTGCATAATGGCTTACACTGTACGGGAAGCTGAACTTGGTCGTCGGTCTAATAAGAGTTTGCTCTACACAAAAGGAATCTGAAAACTATACTCAAAAAGATTCAACCAAGCTGTTTCACTTGGGATGCCACTTAAAAGCAGGCAAACACATTGTACTTAAAATGACTCACCCATCTTCATCTTCATTACCTGTTTCACGAGTAGGGTACGTTTCGTCGACTGGTTTATTAGCCTCCGTAGCTCCCTCAGATGAGCAAAACTGATTATAAATTTCTTCTGTTCCGTTGTACACAAGGTAGTATACAACAAAGATGCCATGATCATGATGTCCGAGTAAGAAAATCATCGACCGCAAGACTTGCATCTCCGTGAGCAACAGCATCTTCTTGTTCTGGCATGTAGAGTGTGGTGGAGGAAGCCTAAAACAAAATCGAAAGGAGCATAACAATGTGCAATCCAAAAACAAAACAACTTGTAACTTGACTAAAAACCAACATCATTCATGAAAAAGTATAATATGTACATACAGTTTGGAAATTAGTGGCTGTCTCTCTCCCATGAGAACCGACCATAGCAAGTTATCATGGTAAGACAACAAATTCCACTTGACAAATTTGAACATTGCAATAACATAGAAAAGTTTGAATTCGACATTCTCATTAAGTAAAACTGCACCAGCAGTTTCTTGAGATAAATTCGAAGCAACTAGTGACTAATTAAAATCCTATACTCTAATGTGCTAACTACATTCCAAATTCCACAAAGTCTAGCCCCAGGAATTCACAGCTACTCATGGATGATAGCATATGATAGGTTCTCTTAATCACAGGTAAGGGTCAACTCTTTTCAAGGTAGCTTGTGTTGAGTCCACATGCTGCACACTTGGCTGGATAGGGCAAGAGCTAGCTTGGCTCTTGCAGAAAATGGAAGGCTGCTTTTGATTTAGTGAGAACTGTGGCAGTAAAAAAACACCGTTTTCTTTAAAAAAACTACCACTGTATTTTGATGATTCCAGGTTGTTCTATTCTTGCTAAGTCTTGAGATAGCACTGTAGCAGTGAGGTCAAGGAACTCTTATAACTACCAAACCATTTCTACATACCACTACAGCTGAAGGAATTTTGGTAAATCTCATAAATGAATAAGAAACATATCTGGTGTAATGGTGTATGCTGTGTATTAGCAAGTTCAATTTCATTGTCTCCCCAAAATGGAAGTCATCCACCAAAACGTTTCGCAGCTATGAAAGCAATAAGATAGGTAATGCACAATACCTTTGCATCCAGCTGCAACTCTCCATTGTTATCAACAGTGAGAACAGCACCATGTGCCCTTAACCATTCCTCACATTCTTCAACTCCTTCTATGCTTGTATCCTGACTGTCATCCATTTGTATAGCTTTTGAGAAGCCCAAGGCGCAAGTAATATAAGCAACAGGGATGACTGGGCGATATGATTTGGACATGCATTGTACAGCCTCAAATCGCATCTTCTCCACGTAGAGATCTGTATCCAAGGACTTGTAATATTAATTGTTACTAAAGAAAATGATAAAGCAAGTAGATTTAAAGAGGAGGTACCCATAAGAAAAGTGTTTAAATTGGGTGCTGTCTTGTACAATCTAAAAAACAGAATAAAATTCCCTGATGAAACAGCAGAGTGAACTGCAAGAGAATGCTTAACAGCTTCATCATCTTTTGCTTTAGCTGATAACCTGAAAATGAAGACATTAAGCATATGTAAGTAGACTGTATAATAATTACTATTAAGAGTAAATATATGAGATGTGATTCCCACACCATTCTCGAATACCCAATCAAACACTCACATATTAACAAAGAAAATGATGGTGCCATGTCTTTTAGGCATAATTAGTGGGATGATGGAGATAATTAAGCCACATTAAAGGTATGAATGTAAAAAGCATCTTTAAATAATATATGTTTGTGTTGAATAAAATAAAATTTCCCCATGACAAACTGCTTATGTTTCTCAAAGCAGTCAAAAGGTGCGATTTACAGTTTATGCTGCTCC